ATGAGCTATGCAGCTACATACAAAACTCTCCAATGGACTAATTGACTTATTAGTCCATTGGAGAGTTTTGTATGTAGCTGCATAGCTCATGGAAAAAACAGTTTGATTTAAAGACTTCATCGTCATCTTCAGTATATTTGGATGCGAAATTATTGAGAAAGACACTTCGAAATGGGCATTTACTCGAGAAGTTCGTCTGTCTTCTGTCCACCTGTTCATCGACTATAAAAGACACATCATGAATATCATCTTCAGTGAAGACTGCCTTACTTTTGTGTAAATTCATTTATTGTTTGTGCACACTTGCAGCAATCTTTGGGTTTATAGTACAGTTTTGTATTGCTGTTCCCCTAGGTATTTATGGTGGACATCCCAAACATACTTCGCATTATTATGGTTATCATGGCAGAGTACAAGAAGACAGACTTGAACCTGAGGCATGTACCTGAGAGCCAATTTGGTGTAGTGGTTAGGAGCGCGGACTCTAATCTGGGAGAACCGGGTTTGATTCCCCACTCCTCCACATGCAGCTGCTAGATGACCTAGGGTCATCCACAAGTTGTTTCAGAGCTGTTCTCTCGCTAGCAGTTCTTGGAAGAGCTCTCTCAGCACCACCTTCCTCACAGGGTGTCTGTTGTGGGGAGGGGGAGGGAAAGGGGTTGTAAGTTACTCTGAGACTCCTTTGGGTAGTGAAGTGCAGGATATAAATCCACTCTCCTCCTCCTCCTTCTTTGTGATATAAAGGAGATTGTAGATTGATATGTGTGCAGTGCAGGTACATGTTCCTAGTCGTAGGCCTGTTTCACACCTATAGGGGAATGAGGTGGAATATTTCCATGTTGTAAAAACCAAAAACCTCCTTGCAAATAGAAAACCACCCCAGCAGAGAGAGGGAGTAGACGCTTTGTCTTGTACAGCTAGTTTTCTGTTTGCAGGGAGCTTACCATGCAAAAGTCCTGTAGAGTGTCTCTGGAGAGGCAATATAAGCATTAAAGGAATACATTCAGACCTGGAATCTCCCACTGGGAGTCTGCAGTGATGCAGTCCAGTCTACCGCCTCATTTATGTATTTATTAAAACATTTGTATCCCACCTTTCCTTGTGGTTCAAGGCAGCTTACAATAACAGCTTCACATGCTTCCTTGTTCTCCTGCATGTGTGAGCCAGGGTGAAGTTTCAGAAAGGGGGAGTAATAAAGGTTATATGGAACAATATACGGCTGGCCCACATTTAGTTTGGCAGTATTTGTCTACATACCTTGTATTGTTCAAACATCTTACATACCCCTTATTCTGCTTTCTAATGCAAACAGTAATTATTATTTATTACTTCTTAAAATATGTTTATTTCACCTTTCCTTGCATCTAGGGCTGTTGAGGAGGGTAACAATCTGTCACAAAAAGCAAAGAAAGAGCACAGTAACAAAAGCAGAAGTCCTGAATAACACCTAGCAAAATCAACAAAGGTAGACAAGAGGAGCCAACCAACAGCCTCACCATCAGTTGGGGACCGATATGTTTAAAAAAACAAACACTACGATTGTGTTTAAAAATGCATTTCACAGGGTGGCATTACTGTAAGTTGACCTCCACTTGTTCTTTTTAAAAAGTAGGTCCCCAGTCCACATGGAGGTAAAGATACGCCTGGAAGAACCTATCAGAAGTGAAGGGTCTTTCAAAACAGGCCTATAGCCACCGTGGGGCATTTAGGGGTGGTGCCCCCTCACTCACTATATATATATATATATCCCTCTCTCTCTCTCTTACTCCCCTGCTCCCCTCCCCCCAGATTTCCCAACACCCCACCACCCAAAATTTTGTGGCTATGCCCCTGTTTCAAAGTAAATCAGGGGCGCGATCACACACACAAGTAGCCACGCCATAGGTGCGAATGCTGGGGGAATTAAAGGGTGCAGTCAGACACAAACATCTGTGAAGCACCCTGCACCCATCAGCAACCCGTTTTGCTCCACCACAGAAGTGGCGTAAAAAGACACCAGGGAAAGTCCGGTAGCAAACGGGTTGCTACAGGCCATGGACGGACTTTTCCCTGTCTGATCGCTGCAGTGCACTCCCACGGTGTCGGGATGGTCTGGTCAGGCCATCCCGACTCCGTGCCATTCCCCCCCCACACACACTGTATGTGCATCATTGCACACTGCATAGGGAGCCCTCAGTGCTGAGATGTGATTGGTCGATTCCCCGTTTAAGCGCATCGGGAACAAACGGCCAAAATAAAGCCCCAACTCACCCGCGGTTGCATCTGATCATGCAGTGGCAGACTTTCCCCCACGGCTCCAAAGGACCGTGTGATCATGCAACTGTGGGTCAAATTCCTCTGGGGGAAATATCCTCGCTCCCACCCACCCACCGTGTTATCTCGCGCGTGCGACTGCCACCCAGGAAGACTTGGAGGCATGGATGAATCTAAACTAAGTCACAGATCTAGAACATCTAAGGTTTTTTAATTTGTTTTGTGGTGGTATTCACCAGAATTGCGTACCTGCACCTGGGGAGGGGGCTCTCCCATGTCCTGAGGGGGAGGAACTGGTGGAAATAAAGCACCGAGAATCTCTTTTCAGTGCCACTGAATAGCTGTGGAATGTGGCATGTGAATATAAAAGAATGTCTGAATGTACACTTCTGCCATTAGGTACTTGATTTTAGTTGCCAGGGCTTCAAAATCAAAGGATTTGGCTTCCCAAAAGCTTCCGACCCCTCGACCTTTCCTTTTAAAAATGAAACATTGTTTATAGGAATTCAGGTGGTTTTGCATAAGTATGAAGGAGGACATCGATTTTAAGTCTCTCTGTGCTGGGGCAGGGAGGGGGGTGTTACCAGAGACCTTTCGAGTAGGAAGCCCCAAAAAAGAACATTGCAGGCGAGGTAACAAACCCAGGAGGTCAATTTCACAAAAACCCTGGGGTCAGTTTCACATTTTCTTTCATCTGCAGGTCCCAGCTCTAACCAGCCAGAAAGAAATTGACCAGTACATTCAGATCCTTATAGTGGACTCCGGTCTAAACTCATGGACAACTTGAAATCAATGGTCTGGGAGAAAAAAGGAATGAACTAACACCCATCCTTCTAACTACGATCACAGGCAGGAGTGATTTCTTAGTTTCTTTCTCTGGGGGGGGAAAAACCCTCTCAGAGGGGTGGGCGGATTTTTGAACTGCGTTGCTATGGAATGTTACCAGCCGTCGTATAACAGGCGCTGTCTGCGTGAGTCCTGCCTGAAAGTTTGCAGTTTGGATCACTTGAGTCCCCTGCAAACTCTCCTGAGGTCGCCTGCGAGCTTCAAGGATGAATGAGCTCAAGGTGGCAGTCCTGGGCAGCGAAGGAACGGGAAAATCTGGTAAGATCCCTCCCTCACTCCAATTTGCTGGCATTGGGCTAGCAGAGGCTGGTTAGGATCGGACGCAAGAGCCCCATCCGTCTTTCCTCCCAGACTGATTTGATCCCCAGGCGGCTTGTTTTTAAAACTTAAGAAAAGCCTGCACTAGCTACTGGACTCCAGGTGTCTTTTTCTGGGTGGTCTGTTCTTGTGCATTCGCATATGTCTCCGGTTCTCAGTCTGTGTTATGCAATGGATATGATACTTCTGTGTATAGATATTCTTTAAAAATCTTTATCATACGTTTATTTCTTTAAAAAGAAAGAAAGAAAGACACCTTTTTACTGAAATGCTGATGTGCCAACTTGGCATACTGCCTCTGCTCCCGTGCCCTCAACGATACTTTAACACAAAACTGTTTACATGAAGAGGCACTATACTGAGTCAGACCATTTGTTTGTTAGTCAGTCCTGTCTGCTCTGACAGGTGGCTGTTCAACAGAGTATCAAAGCTGAAGTCTTCCGCATCATCTACTACCTGATCCTTTTAAGTGGAGATTCCGGGGACTGAACTGGGGAACTTTTGCTACCAGATGTTTTACCACTGAATCATCCCTCCCCCCCCAGAGTTTAACAGGCTAACACTGCAATGCATTGTTTCAGTGGGCTTAGACTAGTGTAAGCAGTTTGGGCTTAGACTAGAGAGCCAGTTTGGTGTAGTGGTTAGGAGTGTGGACTCTAATCTGGGGAAAAAAGGGTTTGAGTCCCCACGCCTCCACATGCAGCTGCTGGTGTGACCTTGGGTCAGTCACAAGCAATGCTCCCTCTAAGCTTTGGAGTCTTGTGAGCAACAATTCTACTTTGTGAGCTACTGACATCAAAGTTGTGAGCGAGTGATTTGGCTACTGAATAAATTAGTTTTCTCTGGAGCCATCCTTCCTGAGCTAAGACGAAATTGGGTGAGCCAGAGGCTAAAAAACTGTGAGCTAGCTCACACTAACTCAGCTTAGAGGGAACACTGGTCACAAGTTCTCTCGGAGCTGTTCTCTCAGGAGCAGTCCTCAAAAGAGCTCACAGGGTATCTGTTGTGGGGAGGGGGAGGGAAAGGAGTTTGTAAGCTGCTGTGAGACTACTCCTTTCATTCCCCACGCCTCCACTTGCAGCTGCTGGATGACCTTGGGCAAGCCAGAGTTCTGACAAGAGCTGTCCTTGAAAGGCGGTTCTTGAAAGAGCTCTCTCAGCCCCACCTACCTCACAGGGTGTCTGTTTTGGGGAGAGGAAGGGAAAGGAGTTTGTAAGACACTCTGAGGCTGTTTTCGCACTAGAGCTGCCTCGATGTTGCGCCGCCGTTTGCCCCAATACTATTGGTCAATTTCACACCCGAAGCTGCAGGGCTGCATTTTGACTTGCAGCTTCACCCGATTTCCCTTGCATTTTTGTAATCCTGTTTTTTGAGGATCACGAAACTGCGGAGGAAATTGGGCGAAGCTGTGGGTCAAATGCAGCCCCGCGGCTTCGGGTGTGAAATTGACCAATAGTATCGGGGCAAACGGTGGCACAACATCGAGGCAGCTCTAGTGCGAAATCAGCCTGAGACTCCGAGTGAAGGGCGGGGTATAAATCCAATCTCTTCTCTTCTTCTTCAGCTAGTGAAGGGTGGGGTATAAATCCAATCTCTTTCCGGTTTGGGGTGGGGGCCCCCCCCCCCCCCGCATTTTCCATGATTAGAAATTTTTTTCCCTACCTCAAATTCTACCTGTCATTCTATCATTAAAGGAAGAGGAGCGGAGCAAATAAGGGGGCAACTAATCCAAGAGGATGGTGCATGGGAGAGAGTGAAAAATGGGTTAGAATAAGAGCTGGAATGGGTTCTGAACTGTGGAAGATCTCAGCATTCAATGGTGTTTACATGTTCACCAAAAAAATTTCTTTTGAAATCCAGCATTCAGTGTTGGATTTGAAGTCTGAAAATGGCGAACCGTTTTAGAAGTTATACTTGAATGCTGAGATGCTAAGCTGAAATTTGATACGATGGCAATTGGAGGAAAAGCCCACGGGAAGTAAAAAACAATTTTTTAAAAAAAATACCTGAGGATTTAAATTTAGAGAACTTGATTTTGAAGCTCTGGAATGTTCAGAAACAATTTTAATAGACAAAGATTTATTTCTTGAGAAAAATTCAGTGCTAAACAGCTCAAAACATACTCCAGTTATTATTATTTATTTATCTTATGACAGAGTTACCCACAGGAAGCATATAATAATACAAAGCACATTACCAAGTTGATACAATGGGTATGCAGAGCGACTGGGCAATCCCCCTAGATACTAATAACTAAATTTTCCATCCACTCAATCCCAGCTGGGGAGAGTTCAAAGAGCTCCATCACATCTCCCTGGAAAGCATGATGCTCACATTCTTGTGACAGATGAAAAATAGTTTGGCGGGCTGCACCACAATCGCATTTGGGTTCTGGTATTTTGCCCCGTTTAAACAACAGGTCTACACAGCTGGCAAAGCCTGTTTTTATTCTGTTAGGTGTCTTCCATATTTTACGTGGCAAGTCAAATCCTGTGAACCTCTCATTGGTGTTTATCAGGTTGTGGATATTGGGTGGAACTGATTGTATCCATGTTCACAATCATTCATTCCCTAGATCAAAATGTTGTGATTCGCAGATCAAAATTTCATGATTCGCAGATCCTACTGCTGAGTGTTGGAATCTTAGTCTGGATAGGCCTGCATCAGCCATGTCTTTGTGGATGGGCAACTCTCTGTTTTCAGTGATCTCTCTATATTCACAAAGAAAATTACCTTGTCTTCAGAGATGTGGGGGAGTGATGTGGCACAACGTGGGTAGCCAGTAGGTCAAGAGTGGGTTTAATACATCTGCTGATGGTTCTCATTGTTGTATTGAGTTGGACATCAAGTTTGTGGACATGGGGGCTGTTGAGCCACACGGAAGCACCGTATTCTGCAGTTCTATACACCAACCCCAAAGCTGAGCATCTAAGTGTTGTAACAGATGCACTCCGAGTTGTACCACATAATGTTGACTGGATTGGGGAGTGATCCTGGATGGTGTGGAAAAGAAAATGCAATCTAGAACTAACTTTTTCTGAAAATCCTGTGCAAAAACATCTTAGAGAGCCATTAGTGGAAGGGCCATGGCTCAATAGTAAATAGATGAGTATCTGCTGTATAAGCAGAAGGTTCCAGGTTCAATCCCCAGCTTCTCCAGTTGAGAAGGACGAGGTGGTAGGTGATGTGAAAGACCACTGCCTGAGACCCTGGAGAGTCACTGCTAATCAGAGTAGAAAATACTGACGGTGATGGACAAACGGTCTGATTCACTGGAGGGCAGTTTCGTGGGTTAGTGACATTTATTTATTTTTGTTCCCGGGTGATGCTACTCCTGTGTTTGGTTTCATCCTAGAATCCCAATGTGTATTGTAGGATTGTCCGAGCTGAACCCTCCCTGTCAGGCAGATAACTTGAGAAACTGGGCACAAACAGTCGACTCAACATGTAAAGTCCACCAGCAGGTAATTTCTCATACTGGATTCTGTTCTGTCATTGCAGCCCTCACAGTGCGCTTTCTCACCCGACGTTTTATTGGAGAATACGCCTCTGACTCTGGTAAGTCCTCCATTAAGTCTGGAAGGTTGTATCCTGGGAAGGCAACGTATGAGTTCAATTAAGCCCACACCAGTGATGATGACCCTATTAGAGAACAACTATCTGCATGGTAATCAAGGAGAAGAAGTCACGTATGGGCCAGTTATAACCATGCTATCAGTGGGACATTGTGAAGGTCTGTGGCTCTGTGATACAACACGTGCCTTGCATGCAGAAGATCCCACACTCAGTCTCTGGACTCTCCAGTTAAAAAGGACCCTGGAGAGCTGCTGCTGCTGCTCAGAGTAGACAATACCAAGCTAGATGAACCAATGGCCTTGCTTTGTAGAAAACAACTCCATATTCTTAGCGGGCATGGCACATTTTTCAGCTCCTACACTTATGTGGGCCATGACCAGGATGACCCAGGCTAGCCTGATCTCTACAGATCTTGGAAGCTAAGTGGGGTCAGCTGTGGTTAGTACTTGGATGGGAGACCACTGAGGAGGTCAGAGGAAAGAGATGGCAAACCACCTCTGGTTTTCTCTTGTCTCGAAAACCAACAGGGCTGCCCCAACTTATGTTGGAAGTGCAAATCAAATATAGGGACCTTCTACCATATGTGGTGGAAATGTAGTAAAATACAAGGTTACTGGAAAATGGTACGGAAGATAATTCAAGAAATTCTGGGGAAAAATTAGCACTAAAACCTGAAATATACCTGTTAAATATAATCCCGGATATAAAGTGCAAGAAGCATATTTAATAGTTTATATAATAACTGCTGCTCGAATATTATTGGCTAAAAATTGGAAATCTGGAATAATACCCTCGAGAGAAGAATTAACATGGAAGATATTAGAATTAGCACAAATGGATAATCTGAGTTTGAAACTAAAAAATAAAAATGAGAAGGTACATGAGAAGAGATGGTTAAAGGTGTATAAGTGGCTCGAGTAAGGACTCTACTATATATGTAAGATGTACAGATGGAATGTCTGATTTGTAAAACTGAAAATAAAAAATTTAATAAAAAAAGAAAGAAAACCAACAGTTGACTGTGATTTGACAGCACTTTCTACCACTACTACACTTATCAGGACCTCGGTCATGAACAGTGTTCCTTCTAAGCTGAGTTAGTGTGAGCCAGCTCACAGTTTTTTAGCCTCCAGCTCACACATTTCTGTCTTAGCTCAGGAAAGATGGCTCCAGAGCAGACTAATTTATGCAGCAGCCAAATCGCTTGCTCATGACTTTAATGCCGGCAGCTCACAAAGTAGAATTTTTGCTCACAAGACTCCACAGCTTAGAGGGAACATTGGTCATGAAGCTTGGTTGCATCAGTTCATGCATTGGGTGGGGGGTAATGTGGTCCCACAACCAATGCTCCCTCTAACCTGTGGAGTCCTCTGAGCAAAAATTCTATTTTGTGAGCTACTACTGGCATTATAGTTGTGAGTGAGCCATTTGGCTACTGCATACAACAATTTGCTTTGGAGCCATCCTTCCTGAATGAAGACAAAAATGTGTGAGCTGGAGGCTAAAAAACTGTGAGCTAGCTCACACTAACTCAGCTTAGAGGGAACACTGGTAGCTACCAGGCTGGCCCACAAAGTGGTATCTGGACGAGGCGACTGTTTGTGCACTTCAGTCTTTGTAGCTCTCAGGGGGAGCACAGTTTTTGGTCTCTTCGTTCCCTAATCCTCTTGGGGTATGTGAGCAAACACCTCTTTCCTACATTAAACAGATAATCTTGTGATGACCTTTTAGAACATTAAAAGAATGTGGGAGTTGACCTTAAAGGAAGCTCATGTACATGAGCACATATACAGGCACACAAGTATATGGAGAATTTTTTTCTAAAAGGATGTGATTGTGAATCGGGATGCACACATCAGTAAAGCATTTGACAAAGTTTCTCATGATCTCCTTGAGGATAAGCTGGTTAGGTGCGGGCTGGGTGGTGCAACCGTTGGATGGATTCATGGTTGGTTGAAAAATCATACCCAATGAGTGCTTGTAAATGGCTCTGTGTCTACGTGGAGGGAAGTCTGGAGTGGAGTGCCGCAGGGCTCAGTCCTGGACCCGGTGTTGTTCAGTGTTTTTATAAATGACCTGGAGGAAGACATAGAGGGGATGCTTATCAGATCTGCAGATGACACAAAGCTGGGTGTGATTGCTAATTCTGAAGAAGATAGAGTCAGAATTCAAAATGATCTAGATAGGCTGGAGCAGTGGGCTGAGACAAATAAAATGAATTTCAAGGGAGATAAGTGCAAAGTCTTATACTTAGATATAAAAAATGAAAGGCACAGATATAGAATGGGAGAGACTTGGCTTGACAGCAGCACATGCGAAAAGGATCTAGGTGTTCTGGTTGATCACAAGCTAAACATGAGCCTACAGTGTGATGTGACTGCGAAGAAAGCTAATGCAATCTTAGGGTGCATTAATAGAAGCATTGTGTCCAGATCATGGGAGGTGGTAGTTCCGCTCACCTGGAATACTGTGTCCAGTTTTGGGCACCACATTTTAGGAAGGATGTTGACAAGCTCGAGCGTGTCCAGAGGAGGGCAACCAGGATGTTGAAAGGGTTGGAATCCAAGTCTTATGAGGAAAGGCTGAAAGAGTTGGGTATGTTTAGCCTGGGAAAGAGAAGGCTTAGAGGGGACATGATTGCAGTCTTCAAGTATTTGAAGGGCTGTCGCGTAGAAGATGGAGCAGATCTATTCTCTCTTGCTCCGGATTGCAAGACTAGATCTAATGGGTGGAAATTACAAGGGAGTCATTACCGGCTAAATATCAGGAGAAACTTCCCAACTGTAAGAGTGGTTGAGCAGTGGAACAGACTGCCTCGGGAGGTGGGGGATGCTCCTTCACTGGACGTTTTCAAGTGGAGGCTGGACGACCATCTTTCGGGTATGTTGTAGGGCTATCTTTCGGCTATGCTCCTGCAGAGTGCAGGGGGTTGGACTAGATGACCTGCAAGGTCCCTTCCAACTCTAACATTCTATGATTCTATGATAAGTGGGTCTGAAAAGCATGGAAAGAAGGTGCAAGCGGGGGGGGGGAAGCCCTTCTCCCCTTTCTAATGCTTTGAGAGAAAGGAAGTAACATCAACATTTCCATGGTACTAGTGAAAGGAGTCGCGGTGGCTCAGAGGTTAAGACGCTGAGCTGCAGACTGGAAGGTCGGTAGCTCGGAAGTTTGAGACCCGAGTGCTGCGTGATGGAGTGAACTCCTGTCTCTGGCCCCAGCTCCTGCCAACCTAGCAGTTCGAAAGCAAGAAATTGCAAGTAATAGGTACTGTTTTGGTGGGGAGGTAACAGCATTCTGTGCGCCTCAGCGTTTGGTCATGCCGGCCACATGACCACGGAAACGTCTACGGACAGTGCTGGCTCTTCAGCTTGGAAACGGAGATGAGCACTGCTCCCTATAGTCGGATTCAACTGGCTTTCGAGCGAGGGAAACCTTGACCTTTACTAGTGAAAGGAGTTAGAGGTAGTATCACTGTTAGTTAAGCACCAAAGCCAGCCAGACTTTGTGGCAGTGGCCTCGGTGTCATAGCACCTCTGCGTACGCATACACATGAGCCACCATGATTGTATTTCTTTCTCTGTTGCCTTACAGAATGCATCTATACCAAACATATGTGCCTGGATGGGAAGCAAATTAACCTGGAAATATATGACCCCTGTTCACAAGTAAGTTTCTTTCTTTTTTTAAGCAGACTCTAATTTAAGTCCAGCCAGTCCTAAAGGTCTTTCGGATGCTTTGCATGGTGGGAAAGTAAAGGAAAAAGGGACTTACAGCGCAGTCCTAAACAAAGTTCCACCCTGACAGTTTGGTGTAGTGGTTAAGAGTGGCGGACTCTAATCTGGAGAGACAGGTTTGGTTCCTTACTCCTCCACATGCAGCAGCTTGTGTGACCTTGGGTCAGTTACAAGTTATTTCACAGCTATTCTCTTAAGAGCCATTCTCTCAGAGCTCTCCCAGTCTCAGCTGCCTCACAGGGTGTCTGTTGCGGGGAGAGGAAGGAAAGGAGATTGTCAACTATTCTGAGACTCCAAGTGAAGGGCGGGGTATAAATCCAATCTCCTCCTCCTCCTCCTTCTTCTTCCATGCTGTTTTCCGAAGCAGTCACATGATGTCAGCTTCTGTTCATTCTGTTGCCATGTTTCCCCACACACACTTTTCTGTGATCCTTCCCAAACTTGCTTTGATACAATCTTTTTGGAAAGATAATAGCCAAACTGCCTGGGTGCCACTTGGATGGCACATCCCACTTGCTTTGGCACCATTTGCCTTACCTCAGTTCCTATGGTGCTGTCCCTCCCACACTAGAGGGCTTTGGGGCTTTAAATATGGTAATAGATACATAATCTACAGCAATATAATATTATCACAGTCCAGTGCAATGACACACTGGTTCCCAGTGCAGAGGAACTTCTGTGTGGATGCTCCGTTGCCACTGCAAATGCCTTTCTGTTGACAGCGGTAATGAGAGAATTGTCTTTATGCAGAAACAGTCCCTATTCTCAAGCCCAAGCAGGTCCATGTGCCTTCTAGAGCAGGGGTGTCAAACATGCGGCCCAGGGGCCAGATCAGGACCCCAGAGGGCTTCTCTCAGGTCCGCAAGGGACTGGCTGTCTCCTGCTTCTTCCTCCAGTTCTGCTGCTGCCGCTGCATCATAACTTGCTTTTCCAGACTCTCTCAATCGCTCAGGAGAGATAGATAGGCAAGCTTCTGCTCCCTGCACTGGGCTTGAGGCTCCTCCCCCTCCCAGATTGCAACAGCACATTTTGATGCAATAATTCAGAGAAAGTAGGGTCAGTTATCAGAGACTGTAAAATAAACAAAATATTGCAAGAATGCTGATGTGTCAAGCATCTTTTTATTTTAAGTTTTTTTTTAAAAAAAAAAATATCTTTGTGTTTATGTCCTTTATCAAGTCTATATCTCCGCTCCTTGGCATTATATTTTATGACACACATGGCCCGGCCCGACAAAGTCTATTTTATGTCAAATCTGTCCCTCCATAACAAATGAGTTCGACACCCCTGGTCTAGAGTGTATGACTTATCATAAGAACATAGGGACATAAGAGATGCCAATGTTGAATCAGGCCAAAGGCCTATCCAGTCCAACACTCTGTATCACACAGTGGCCAGAAATACCAGGTGCCATCAGGAAGTCCACCAGTGGGGCCAGGACATTAGAAGCCCTCCCAGTGGTGCCCCCCCCCCCCCAAGCACCAAGATGACAGAGCATCACTTGCCCCAGAGTCCCTATCTATACCTTGTGGCTAATAGCCACTGATGGACCTCTGCTCCATATGCTTATCTAATTCCCTTTTGAAGCCGTCCATGCTTGTAGCCGCCACCACTTCCTGTGGCAGTGAATTCCAAGTGTTAATCACTCTTTGGGTGAAGAAGTACTTCCTCTTTTCCGTTCTAACCCGACCAATCCGTTCTAACTCTCGTTTGGAGAGTTATTTTTCATTTTAGAAATATTGGTCTATTTGTAACGAACATCATCTATTAGGGATGGCCTTCAGTTTTGCTTCTCACACCACCACCAACCTGCCATGCTCAGAGTCACCGTCACAAAGAGCTGATTTGTTTTACAGGGTCACATAAGTCATGATGACGATAATGATCTTGGAAAGCTCCGGGGAAGCCTCACATGGGCAGGGCTGCCATGTGGGTGGAGCTTGGAGCATTACCACTTGGGTGTCAATGGCCATTGGTTGCTCTTTAAAACCAGAACTTCCATACTTCAAACAGGCACTGTTCTGTCACAGTTTTTCAAAAAAGGTCATAGGCGATGAACCAAAGAGGCACCCATTGGCCCCAGTCTGGTTCTGGCTAGGGTGGCTAGCCTCCACTGGATCTCCCAGAATTACACACACACACAGCAGTTCCTTTATTGGCATTTCACAGAGATAAAAACATAGTATCTGGGAAATAAAATTCAGATTCTACATAAAATACAATTTCTGTTAAAAGATACCCTGCGTTGAAGACTTACAGAATTTTACTACGTATAGAAGCAGCAGCTCGTAAAAACTTTGCCACAAGTTCAATTATGTTACTCCCAGATTTACCGCTGGTCCCCAGATCACCTCCCCTGGAGACAATGGCTGCTTTGGAAGGTGGACTCTATGGCATTATACCCAGGTGAGGTCCTTCCCCTCCACAAACCCCACCCTCCCCCAGGCTCCACCCCCAAAATCTCCAGGTGTTTCCCAACCTGGAACTGGCAACCCTAGTTGTGGCCTTGAGTGCACATCCATTGGGATCTGAGTCATATTATTTAGGAATGAGATGTCAGGAATGACATCTAGTGTGTGCCAGTCAATGCTCACTCTAAGCTCTGGAGTCCTGTGAGCAAAAATTCTACTCTGTGAGCTACTGGCCTTAAAGTTGTGAGTGAGTGATTTGGCTACTGCATAAATGAGTTTGCTCTGGAGCCCATCCTTCCTGAGCTAAGACCAAAAAAATTGTGAGCCGGAAGCTAAAAAATGGTGAGCTAGCTCACACTAACTCAGCATAGAGGAAATACTGGTGCCAGTGCTGTCCTAAGGAGAGTTAGACCCTTCTAGGCACACTGATCTTGAAGCGTGCAACTCTGTTTAGCATTTCGCTGCACGTCTTTGGCAGGGGTCTTTTCGTAGAAAAAGAGCTGCAGGAGCTCATTAGCATATGCAACGCCCCCTGACATCACTGGAAGTGATGTCAGAAGGGGAAGCAAAAGGGGGGGGGAAGACATCTTCAAAAGCCTCCCCTTCCCTGGGGGGGGGAGTGAAGAGAGAAGGGGTTTAAATTTTAAACCCCTTCTCACTAGAGTTGGGCCGCAGAAGAAGGAAAGAAGGAAGGAAAGAGAGAGAGAGAGAAAGAGTCTCACTAGAGTTGGGCTGCAGAAGGAGGAAAGAAGGAAGGAAAGAGAGAGAGAGAGAGTAGAGAGAAGGAAAGGGGAAGGAAAAGAGAAGAAGGAAGGAAGGAAGAGAAGGGAATGAGAGAAAGAAAAGGAGGGAAAGAAAAGCAAAGGGGAAGGAAAGAAGGGAAAGAAAGAGGGCAAAGAGATGGGGGGAGGCTCCCCCCACTCAAGCCTCCGCCACCCCCCACGGATCCCTCACTTACCCATGGAGGCGGCAGGGGGGCCTCTTCTGGTCTCCTCCGGGCTGCAGCGCTCCAGCGCTGACCCAGGGAGGTGGTGGGGGGCTCTCCTGGCCTCCTCTGGGCAGCAGTGCTCTGGCGCTGACCCAAGGAGATGTGGGGGCTCTCCTGGCCTCCTCTGGGCCACAGCGCTCTGGCACAGGCCCCAAGAAGGCAGCAACAAGCATCTCCGGGGTTGCAGCACTCTGGCACGGGCCCTGGGAAGGCAGCGACGGGCCTCCTCGGGCCTCCCTGGGGCCGCAGTGCTTCAGCATGGGCCTGGAAGGCCTGCAACAGGCCATAGCGGGGGGGAGCTGGGGGCGGGGCTTGCTACCGCCACCATTTTGCCAGGTCCTGGGCTCCCGGAGCGGCGCTCCAGCATGCTCCGGCCCCAAAAGACCCCTGGTCTTTGGTGGTGTGTAATGTTCTCTGTGTTGCACCGGACATCTGGCAAAAATAGTACAAAGTGCAAAATCAGACCCAGAGCCTGTGCTCAGCATCTGTGGCCACTGCAGGCAATGAAACAAAGGTTGTCTGTGAGTTTTGGTAGTAATAATAATGATGATGATGAAAAAAACTTTACTGGCAAAAGCTCTTAATACAGGGAGTTTTATAGAAGGGCACAGACATGTTTGCTATAAAGACAAATATCATATGCAAAGAGATCTTATGAGGTTGGTTATTTGCAAGGCTTGGCTGAGCTAAGAAATTAGTCGAGGTACCTGTTGGCAGTGACAGGGCAGAAATTGAGAGCGTTCTATACAATAGAATCTGAAAGCCCGGACACAGATAAGATGCTATAATCCCATTGATTTAAATGGATTTTAAGCAACCAAAGAGTGTACAGAGCTGAAGTGAAAAAGCAATGCCAATGAACATGTGCAAAGTGATTTTCCTTTCTACTGAGAAACCACAAACTGGGTCCAAACCCAACAATCGGTATTAAGCACAGGGCAGTCCACACAATGCAATTCTGCAGAAGTATATTCTACGCCTTGAGAATTCCAGCTACTTTAAAAACAAAATCTTAAGGGAAAATCCAGAAGTGACATCAGTTTGCTCGTGGAATCTTGAAATCCAGGAATTTCTGATAATTCCAAGAAAGACATGACATCACGTCCAAGTTTTCCCCAGTAGTGACAAGACACCATTGCTAATGGTGCTCCCCATGTTCCCACTGCCCTACTCTCTGTCCTGGTGCAGGCACATAGCTACAGTGGGGCTTTTGGGGGCTCCACCCCCTTTCTTAAAGGCACAGCCACACAAGAATGTCTCCTGTAAATGCCTTTTTCAATCTTTTAAAACTTTTTTTAAAGGGGTGCACTCCTTTAAGCAGAGTGGGGTGCTGTAGTTGACTAATTCCCGCACTGAGCAAGGGAGTTGGAGTGGGTGACCTCCAGGATCCCTTCTAACTCTGTGTCAAGAAATTGGTCTCCTTTAAGAGAGTTTTTCTGCCTAAGTGTTAGCTTTCTTGACTATAGAAGTCATCACCCCCACATGCCGGTTTGTTATCAGAATTGCTGCTTAGGCTGGCAGAAGTTATTAACTTGCAGCAGTTGAGAACTGTCATCTAAAGAGGTTGACAGTTTGCAATTTAGAGATCTACCCAAGTAACAGCTTTCTAATGGCTAAATGGCTTTTCTTTCTGCACTAAGAACTTCAGCCTCACCAGGAAAACAAATTCTCCCACAAGCCACAAAATCCTGGCTACCAGCCTGGCTGTGTGTGTGTGTTGTGCTACATGCCCCTTTGGAGGCCAACCAGTTTACAAAACCAGATACTGGATTAGATGAACCTTTGGTCTGATCCATCAGGGGTCTTCTAATGAAGCACCTGTTGGCAGGCTTTTCTCAGTGCCATACCTATGTAGCTTCTCATGTCAATGGTCCCATTCATGGTTTTCTGTTGTCTTCCAGCCTCGGCAAGGGAAGTTGTCCCTGACAGATGAGCTCCACTGGGCTGACGGGTTTGTCATCGTGTATGACATCAGCGACAGAGCTTCCTTTGCTTTTGCAAAAGCCCTGCTGTACAGGATACGAGAGTGCCACGCAAGTGCTTCCAAAAGGCAAGTCATCAAATGATGGTGATTCTGAAGCCTGATATTAACATGAGGGGTGAAAGAGAGGGGGCAGCTGTCATTGCTTCTACCAGGGGCAATTCCCATCCTATTTGATTACAAGCGTTAAACATGTGGGAGCTCGAAACCACATCCTAATGCCAGAGCTTAATTGGATTGTGAATCATTGCCTCTTCCGCTGTAGATTGTAGTTCTCTGAGGAGTAAGCAGAGATCTTTAATGGAGAAATCTTTAAAGCTACAGTTCCCAGATTCAAGTCCAGTAGCATCTGAAAGACCAATGAGATTTCCAGGATATAAGCTTTCGTTAGTCAAAGGGCCTTTTGGCATTCAGTCTTTACTTGTGATTTTCCTGGAACTTGAGGCATTATGCCTTTGATTCAAATCATTTCCTTTCATTCTGCATATGTAATTATTCTTTGGCACTTTCTGTGGATTATGCTTTCTGTAGATTATACTTCCTGCATACTCACGGAAGTGTGTTTTGAGCCCCGATTGCTCTTATCCTGAGGACTCTAAACAAATATAAATGTTCAGCAATTGCCCATGAGGAAACTTGTTATCATGTAAATTGGCCGCCTGACATAGACCAAAGAGAAAGAGTCTGAAACAGGGGATATTTGCAGAAACAATTCTACTTTATTTTTTTTATTGTTATTTTTTCAAAACAATTTATGCCATACTGTTGCCAATAAAAGAAATACATAAACATGGTGGTACGTTTTAATAACATATGAAGACTAAATCATAGTTAGTGTGATATTTCAACAAAGAGATCTTCTGTAATACCCATGGTCACAAGCAGGGCTCTTTTTGTAGAAAAAGCCCAGCAGGAACTCATTAGCATAATAGGCCACACCCAATGTCCAAATCCAGGGCCTTTTTTTGTAGCAGGAACTCCTTTGCATGTGAGGCCACACACCCCTAATGTAGCCAATCCTAATGAGTTTCTGCTGTTGGGTGTGGCCTATTATGCTAATGAGTTCCTGCCTGGGCGTGGCCAACTTGGGAGCCAGCCGGAGCTCCGTTCCTGTGTGTTCCTGCGCAAAAATAGCCCTGGTCACAAGTCTTCAGAGTTAGAGGAGTAAGGATTGCAAAAAAATGTTTTTTCCCAACAGGCTTTTATAATAATGTTTCACATCAGTAACCATTTATGATATTGTGGGTTTGCCGGAAGTATATAATGTGTGGTGAGATACGAGAATATCGGAAACCAGATTGATTCAAATTTGAGATTGGAGGACTGAGATTGTGCTCTATGTACTTTATCTGCGATTTTTGCCATCACAAATTGTTCCCACACTTTTTCATGCCAAACGGATAACGTTGGTGGCAATTCTACTTTAAATAGTATCGATTTTAAAATGGAGCCGAACAAAGGTTGGCGGCAAAAGCACTTTGGGGAAGTGTGGGGCAACAGTGTGCTGGAATCGGTCTGAGTGCTGATCCCACTAAAATAAATGCAGAACTGAGAAGAAGCCCCGACACAAAGTGGTAGTGAAAGTGGAGGGAATGCAGAACAGAAGACTGAGATGTGCTCAGAAACTGAGGGAAAAGACAGGTGCAGAAAGGTCCAAAGCTGCCTTCTTTACAAAGGTGGCTTTGACTCAAAAGTTTATACCCTGGAAATCTTTTTGATCTTTAAGGCACTATTGGCTTTTACTCTTGTTGTTCTACTGCAGACCAATAAGGCTACCCACCTGAAACTACAATTCCCAGGTTTCTTTAAGGGAAGCTATGGCAGCTCAAGTAGGACAAACCTGATATTGTAATGTCATATAATGTTTAAATGGTTTTAAAAATGTTTTTATGTGTGGGCGTATGCCTGTCTGTGACCCGCCCTGAGCCCGCTTTTGTGGGGAGGGTGGGCTATAAATCGAAATAAATAAATAAATAAATAAATAAATATAGGAGAAAGAGGAGAAAGAGGAGAAGGAGAAGAGGAGGAAGAGGAGATTGGAATTATACCCTGCCCTTCACTCGGAGTCTCAGAGTGGCTCACAAATGCCTTTCCCTTCCCCTCCCAACAACATACACCCTGTGAGGTAGATGGGGCTGAGAGAAACTCTTTCCAGAACTGTCCTGAGAGAACAGCTCTGACAGAACTATGGGTTGCCCAAGGTCATCCAGCTGCTGCAAGTGGAGGAGAGGGGAATCAAACCCAGCTCTCCCAGATTAGAGTCCATGCACTTAACCACTACACCAAACTGGCTGTCTCTCACTACACCAAACTAGTTTATAGTATTCAGGGCTCGGTTTGCATGCTGAGTTCTCACCCATCTTCCTCTTCCCTTCCCTCAGAGCTTCAGAGTCTACTGTCGTTTTGGTCGGCAACAAGCAAGACCTGTGCCATATAAGAGAAGTTGGCTGGGAGGAAGGGCAGAAGCTGGCCCTGGATTACAAATGCCAATTCTGCGAACTGTCCGCAGCAGAACACAGCCAGGAAGTGGTGGCCATGTTCACCAAACTGCTGAAGAACACCACCTCTAACTCCAAAGGGAAGGAGAAGCGACGGCCCAGTGGGTCAAAGTCCATGGCCAAATTGATCAACACCATGTTTGGGAAGAGAAGGAAGTCTGTTTAGGTGAAAGTTCCATGATGCCCAATCTCTGCCGAAGACATATAGTAAAAAGAGAGTCCGAGATGTATGGTGACCATTCCAATACACTGGGTTTTTTAAGTGTTCCAGCTGAAGGGGAATCATGGGAGACTATGGAGGGGCTGACACACATGTGTTTATCACCTGAAGTCTTGTCGCTTGATGGCTTCTCAGGGAGACATATGAATCATCACCAATGAAAGGAGCTGTCTTTGAGTTGAAATCCAGTGATTCGAAAGTTCTCTCTGGGTAAACGAACACGTGAAGACTGGTTCACACATGTGGGTCACCACTACTTAATGCTGCCATCAATGGACGGTGAATAATATTTGCCCCTTATCCAGCTATGGCTATTTCTAAATAAGGGTGCAATCCTGTACGCTGCTTCTTGGGAATAATCCCTGCTTAATACAGTGGGATTCCTTTCTGAGTAAGGAACTGCATCAAATTGCACTGCAGCTCTCACTGAAAGCAGCAGGACTTAGGTAGATGGTGTGGAATCAGATCCTGCATGTGAGAACCAGTCTTACAGCGAAGAAAGATGCTGTGAACTGACGCCATCACCGTTCCGTTTCCGGGGTCTTTAGGCTGCAGTCTAAAAAAAGTGGCGTCATGAAATTTCCTCTCGAGACTTCTCTCGTGTATATGGCTGGTAAGATCTGTGGGGCAAGGGCACTTCTCCTCGTCTGCCTAGAACTATATCGCCTAAACCCATGTAAAACTCTATATTACCTGCAATGATCGGTTTTCTTAGAAACTGTTTCGGTGCTTTTTATACGTTAGAATGATGGAGGAGCCGAGGAGGCTTGATGGAACTGATGGAGCTGGTGGAGTTTAGTGATGTCAGACCACAATCCTATGCAAGCATGTAAGCCCTAGGGATGCCATCCTCCAGGTAGGACCTGGGGGATCCCCTGGAATTACTGCTCATCTCCAGGCTACAGAGATCAGTTTCCCCTGGGGGAAATGAATTCTGTGGCATTGTACCCTGCTGAGGTCCCTGTCCTCCCCAGGTGCCATTCCCAAATCCAGGAGTTTACCAACCTGGATCTGGCAACCCTTCCCCCGATCCCCCACCTGTGGTCCGGGGGGGGGCCCTAGTAAGTCCCATCAAGCACATTTGCATAAGAGGGAGTGGTATAAACCTGAGCTGTGACCTGTGAGGTCCCTGGATCAAATATCACCTCTACCGCAAGCTCTTTCGGTAGCATCAGGCGAGTTAATTTTTCTCATCCGTACTAGGGATGTGCATTCGGTTCGTCTGAACCAAACGCACCCCTGAAAATGGCCCATTCGGACCCCTTTTGGGCTGCTGCAGGCCGATTCAGATACTCTGATCTAAATCGGCTTGCTGCCGAATTGCCGCCGAATTTCGGCGGCTATTAGGGCCCATTATATCCTATGGGCCATTGAAGTCAATAGCGAAAACATAGGGTATATTCTGGGGTCTGGAGGAGATGGGGTTTGAGGGAGAG